AAAAATAATTCAATGGACATGGCTTGTTTAATCATTAGCTATTGCAAGAAAGGGTTTATTCTGGATTTTGTGTACTTTCTGAATCATCGGGTGCTCATTTTGTTAGTTTAAATATGTGCAGGTACTGATGATGATGATTCCCAAGTACCAGTATACACTAGAGTCCCATTAGGCAGTCGTGTAGCGGGTAACGGAAGATCATTTGTAGCCTCAGCCCCATATCAAAGGATGCAAATCGATATGGAATTGGAAATCCACAATCTGGAGCAGATAGCATACTGCGCAGTTCTCCGGGCTTTTAAAGCACAATCGGATGCACTCACATGGGTATACGAAATCATGATCTATTTATTGTTCTCCCGAATCTTGTACATTATGAGGTGTGACAAAACACGTAACCTTATTATTCAGGAAAAAGAAGGTCTCATAACAGAACTCCGGAAGGAACTAAGAGTCTCAGATGATGAGCACCGTGAACTACTTACTGAGGTCAATGCTGATGACCTCATTCGCAGGATCAGGGAGTGGAGAGAGGCAGGAGGGAGCCGAAATGTGGCCGCCAATGGTGTTAACAATCTGCTACAGAGCCCAACAGTTTCTGCATCTCGCAAAAGACAGAAGGCTCCCCTATCAGGAAATCCATTTGGCACACCGTCTCAACCTTTGCACACACAGACGATGACTACTTCAGCTTCTAAACGGGGGCCTATTCAAGGGATTGGAGGGCGAAGGACTAATGCTGTATGGTCAAGTTATTATAATAAAGATTAGATAGACCTTTATAAAGTTTGGCTTTATGATTAATTTGTCTATCTTCGTGCTGTTTCATATTGTCAGCCATCGTTCGCCCCAGCAAAACCTGTGCAATATCAGTTTACTGATCATATTTCTTCTGGGGCTCCTGTGGATGACCCTTCTGAAAGCGTGCGTGACTCGTTAGTTGGCCGGAAGGTGATGATAAGATGGCCTGCAGACAATAACTTCTATGAGGCTCTCATAACTGAATACAATCCAATTGATGTATGTTCTTCCTTCTTTGTGTTATGTTTTGAGCTCTAATTTGGGAGTCTCTTTGAAGTGTTTCTTAGCATTTTTTATGGCTGGAAACTTATGTAGAAATCTATTATGTTTCCTAGAAATCTATTACGTGTCTACATTCTGTAGAAAGATTTTGGTGGCATTTCTGTATTTTCTTTAAATTTTAATATCTCATTGCGTGTTTTATTACCAATTCGTGTCTAGAAATAACATCCATATGAAATTGCAGTTCTACGTGTTCCATCATTTCTTCAATTTGAGTACCCTTTTTCCCTCTTTGATTATCACCGTTTCTTTAGATTTTTGACAGGATTATCATAAATGGCTGTCAAATATCTCACTTACGGATCTAAGTTTTGGCAGTTTATTTTATTTTCAGGGCCGACATTCTTTGGTTTACGATAGCAATACTCCTAATGCCACATTGGAATGGGTTAATATCAAAGAGGTAGGTATCTTTGATTTGGGTAGCCCAAAAATTTCCTGAACACCAATTTCAGTATAGCTTTCTGAACCTTGCCATCATCTCCCCATATATGTATACACTATGATATCTTCCGTGGGTTGCGTTAATCTTCGGATATCTGTGAGGTGCACAAGAAAACGATACTTTTTGCATTGATACAAATGAATTAACTTCCATAAAGCAAAATTTTTCTTGTGAGCATACCAGATTAGCATAACCTTATCTCCTTTTGACTTTGCAAAGTCAGATTGTATAATTAATAGGGTGGTTGAATGTAAAGGCTAAGATATTAGTGGAAGCTTTGGATGATACTTTGAAGCTGTCTCTGCTTGTTTTATTGATTTTTGTGGGCTCTTGTATAATTGTTTTCTATGTTATTGTTTATCTTTTGCCTTATGTCTCAAATCATATTTGTGTTCTTTTAACCAACGTAATCCAGGTTCCACCAGAGGATATCCGGTGGGTGGGTGACGATCCTATTGCATCCCGCTTAAGTGAGATGGGTGGGCCTAACTCTGGGAGAGGGAGATTGTCCTCAATGAACCCATTTCCCAAGGAGATCAGGCCTCCAGTGAACGATGCCATAAGGGACGATTATGAGGAAATTGAAATATTGCATACTGAAACCTTGATAAAAAAGGTACCTGTAAAAGAAGAAAAAAAAAATGTTGCATATTTTTGGAATATATGCAAATTTGCTTTTAGTTTTTATTTTCTTCTGGTTTGTAGGTAGAGAAGGTGCTTGATGCAACCCATCCTGATCTATCAGAGATTCACAAGGCTAAGAAGATGCTTAAGGTTGTCACTAATTTGAATATTTAGTTTTTATTGTCGTATCCTTATCATCTGATTATCCCTGTTACAACTTTGGTGCAGGAACACGAACAAACACTTATTCAAGTGATCGAGAAGCTTGCGGCTGTATGTGACAGTGGTAATGAGGATATCCGGAAATCCAATAAGCGTACCATCAATTTTGAGTAGAATGTTTCATTTAATACATTTTTCGTTTTATTACTGACTTATGTCAGTATGTCAAAGATGGGTCTCTTTCCCCTGGGTTCATTTCTATCTTTCTGCAACATATATACTTCAAGTCTAATTAATGCAGAAACATTGTCCTTTGTCATTGAAAAAATCGTAGAATTTCTTTTAACATAATGTTCTTTTCCTAATACTTTGCTGATGCACTGTTGCTACTAATTTCTTGACATCAAGAAGTATCTGTGATCTTATAGTTGAGATTCATCGATTTTGTCTGGTCATTTGCTTTCTTTTAGTTTTATAACTGAATTATATATTTTATATCTTTTTTCTGATTTATTTACTGCATTTTTTTTTTCCTCCATCAGATGATGATCGTCCATCCGTGCAAGAATATTCTGGTGGCAGACCACGTAATGTTGACTACCGTAATCCGAGCCACGAGCCTGATAGTGCTGGCAGGATTACTGGCTGAAATCGAATTCTGCGGATATTTCACCAAATGAGTCTGTTGTCCATAGAGATTAGTGTGACCCCCTACTCTACCCCCAATCATCTCCCTTAACTCCAATTTCTAGTGTAACTTTTTCGAATATGATATTGTGGTTAATGATGTCTGCTGATTGATAAAGGTCGTTAGGATCTTAAAATCCATTTGCTATTTTCCTATATATTATGCATTTGCTATTTTCCTATATATTGAAACATATTTCTGTACTCAGATTTGGTTTTACATGTAATGAACTGTATTGCTCATGTATATTGCTGACCATTTATATACATCCAGTATGCTATTTAAGATATAGTGGAATAGTAGATGTTGGATCAGCTGGTATACTTTGATTTTAAACACAGAAACATAATCACATTGTCCAGCAAACCATGAATCAGAACATCAATTTTTCGAACATTTTTAGTACAGACAGAACACATTTTTATCAAATCTTACAACGAGGAAATAAATTCCACAATTAGATTTGCCATCTGGTCATCGTACGCAGGGCCCTCCATTTGAAAATGGCTGACTCCCTCGATTAAATGAGTCTGGTTACGGCCGGCAGCATTTTTTAGCTTGCTCTCAAGCTGTTTGACGCTCGTGAAACCATCCCTTGTGCCCATAACAAAGAGTTTGGGTTTTGGGGACTGCAGTACAGCTTTATGGTGCCTCCCGAAAAGAATGGAGGCGATTAATCCGAACGGGTAACCCAAGCTCACGTAACCGATGACTTCATCAATCTTATCAAGAGCAGTGCCCGCAATAGGCGCACCTATAAGATACAACACATTGTAAATATACACATATTCATAGGATAGGGCCAAATAACAACGAATAAATAAATAGATACATCGAACTTTTAATTTCAAGCTATCAACATTTAACTGTATCATGTGAGTGTGTGTGACGTTCTTGTGTGGTTCAACGAAAGTAAGTTCTGGAGATCATTCCGATTAACAATCAAACCGAAATCAATCGCTAGAGGGAGTAGTAGTCTTAGTCTTGACACAACAGATTATACATGCTTTTAAACTAAAATGTAGTACTCTGCAAAAAGTATGCATTTTTATTACAAATGTATCATTGGTTGACTCGCCTAATGGTTAGGTCGTCTCACAATAATTCGAGTAGAGGGATTGTGCCGAGATTGTGAGACGGTATCAGAAGTTCGAGCATTCAACGCTGAAAACAATGCAGAAACTCTCCACTTTCAAGATCATCTGACAATTGTTATGCTATGTAGAGAATCATTTATCAAGATTTTCAATGGGTAATGCCTTAGTTGAATCGAACTTCAAATTCCCGACTTTCACACTATCAAAAATGTCAGATCAAAAGCCTCAGATTTTTCACACATAACACACACACACACACACAGGGAAGTGAAAGCAGCTACCAGCTGAGGACCCGATGAGGACAATGCGACGGGACGAGAGATTTTGAGAAGCCCATTTGCACACCGAAACGACGTCGTCGACCTCGGCAAAGCCTGTGATAGAGGCCCGGCCGGTGGACCTGCCGACGCCCCTCATGTCGAAGGTCATGGCCGCGACCCCCCTCTCGGCCAGCCGCCGGGCTATGCCTGTCATCAGACCCTGGCATCCTCCGAGAACAGAGTACGGGTGCACCAGCACAGCCACCAATTCACCGGTCGGGTTCTCAAGCTCGGCGGCGGCTGCGGCGAGTCTGTAGATCCGGGCATCCAGAGTGATGCCTCCTTTCGACTGGATTGTGCAGAACTCTCTATCGCTGCTCATTTTTCTTGGGGTTAGATGAATTTGGAAGAGAAATTGAGAAGGGGAAATGTATGTCAATCTACTAGAAATTGTGAATTTTAGTAGAGGTTGAAAAAGCTTCGATTCTTTGGAGATTTATTATTAGTTGGGAAGCTGGAGAATAATGGAGAATTTTTTATTTACATTAATTTGCTAACTAAAATAATAATTTCCCCAAAGTTTGAGACCCCAATTTTTGTATGTAAATGAAATGGTGGGAAATGTTGTGCCCGATTTCATTTCATCGGGATTTGTATTCATTAGATCATCATATAATAGTCGTGAATCGTTGATCTAACGATTACAAACCCGACGGAATGATTCGCGGACTGTAAAATCTCCTCGTACTCAATAAATTATTTGAAGTTTGAGCCCCACTTGCGTGTGTATATGAAATCTACTATTGTTAAAGTTCAAAAAACAACCTGTTCGAACAAGTCTGACTCATATGGCAAAATTAACTAATCAAATTCGACCTCTAGCACAACAACCAAATTGAATTGTGTTCGTTTTAACAACTCTACTGTTCGAATAAAGATGATCAGCATCATGGCCATCCATGTGTCAAATTTTTGTATAATACAAAAATTAATTTCGACCATATCATAATTTACCAAAACTAACATCCCCACAATTTAAATTTTAACAAAGCCTTCACTCTGTCCGAAGCTCCATTAGTCTTCTAAATACAGCACAAATAATAAAAAAAAAAAAACAGACACTAAGTGAGTTCGAAAACGGAATTTCAGTCTGTTAAAAGATCTAAAACCGAAAAATAGAAAAAAGAAACGCAAAAGAAAAAAAACTAAAAAAAATAAAAATAAAAGAAAAACTATAAGAAAGGGGAAAGAAAAAGAAAGGGAAACCAAAACCGAAAACCTATAAAAGGAAATAACATGAATCCATCCATCCATACACTAGGTACAAATATTACCTACCCCTCCCAAATCAATCCTCTACAACTTCCTCGTTCTCTTCTTCGCCGGCGGAGTCTCGTTCTCACTCCTCTCCCTACCCCTCTTCCTAGCCGGCGGTGCAGCCCTTTTTGGCGGCCGACCGACATTCTTCACGGGACTCCCTTTCTCCTTCACCAGCCTCGTCTCAGCCGTGCTCCTCCTCGTGACTTGCTCTTTCTTCTCCACACGTTTCGCATTCTCAATGCCTTTCTTCTTCTCTGTGGGCCCGCCACTGTTGCCGCTCCCCTCTCCGGTCAGTGGCGTGTTCTTCAGTGCATCGAGAAGGTCACCGTTATTCGAGGGCGAAGACCCTTGCTTCATCCGGCTCAAGAAGTTAGCGGCCCCGCGTTTTTTCGACTCCGTCTCGGCCGCCGTCTTCTTGCTGTGTTCCGAGCTCGACCCTCCTTTCTCCTGCTGCTTCGTCGTGTTATTATTATTGTTATTGTTGTTTTTGTTGTTGTGGTTGTTGTTGGTGCTATTCTTGCCGTTTGTTTTCGTGGTGGATGTGGTGGTTGCGGGAGAGAGTCGGTTTTCCCTCGTCCGTTTTTTAGTGATTTTTGGCTCGTCTGGGCTCTCGGGTGCTTTTTTGGAAAACTTTTCATTGGCGGGGCTTGATGAGGACTGGCCCTTCTTGTCGGAGGCTTTGGACGAGATTGAGCTCCGTTTGCGGCACACGGTTAGCGAGCCAGGAAGTCTCGGTTTCAGCATCAGCGAATTCGAATTGTTGTCGGCTGATTTGTCTTTCTTGGACAGGGACTGGAGAGAGAGTTGTTTACCGGAGGAGGACTCGGATTTGGACTTGGACATCTCTTTGGAGACGAGGGCCCGAATCACGCGGGCTGCTTTGGACTCGGGGGAGTTGTTGGGGAAGAAGACGAGGGCATTGTTGACCAGAAGTAAGAGGTCGCGGAAGAACTTGGCCCGTGAGCCCGAGTAGCGTCCTTGCCGCAGCCTTTTCTCAACTGTCTCCAGGTCGACGTGCTGGAGGATTAGCTTCTGGTATTTTGAGGTTTCCTGCACAATTGGACGCTCATCTTTATTGTGTGTATATTAATAGACATCACACAATATATACTTACAAAACATTTCATTAACATAATTATAAAATATGTATGTTATTTATGATATAAGTATGAAACAATGTAATACAAAATAACAGTTGCCCTCTCACAAGAATCTGTATTTGTATTTGGCAGCCCAAGAAAGTGGCTGGTGCTGTGTGACAGTACAAGGACAGCCACACGGCTATTACATCATATCAACCAAACACCATTAACGTGTTTAAAAATATATTTCGAAGTTGAAAAGATAAAACTCTCTTTATGTAACATGGAAAAATATGATTGAAATTGTAAATTAATTTATTAAATAAAATATACCCATAGACTAGCTGACCGGTCAATCAGTGCGGCCAATCAAATAAAAAAAAAAACACGGATAATTGAAACACGGCCCTCAAAAAAATAAACAAATACAAATGCTAAACTACAGTAATTTTCGTTTTGGTTAATAAGAGGGTGATTGTTTATGTTTTGAATAGTAAAAAATTTAGAACTTTTTAATTATGATTAAGCTTAAGAAAAAGTGGTATGATTAGTTGTTGGATATATTAAAATAGTATTTAAAATAAAATAGTTAAAGTTGATTTGATGTAAAAGTAAGAGAAAATGATTGGAAGTGATAGTTAGTTAAAATTACTTAAAATTATGTGAGTAGATGAATAGTGAATTAAAGTTGATGTGATATGTAATAATGATTTATTAATGTTATTTAATTATATAATAATATTGGAGATAGTGTGGTTGAGTTAAAGTTAGTTAAATTTGAATTTGAGTAAAAAAAATTACTGTAGAAATGATAAACAATCACCCCTAAGTGTGGTTCTGAAAATTGCACAGTAATTAAAAAAAATTATTTAATAATAATCCTCATTAATAAAGATAAATATGTATGTTTTGAAAATAAATAAAGAGTAAATATAAAAAGTGTATTAAAAAAAATTCAAAATATATGTAAAATAAATTTAAAATATTATTTATTTAGTTAATTGTTGTTAAAGCAAAGTGCATTAACAAAAAAAGAGATAATTTATCATCCAAAATATGAAATAAATTCCACAGGTTAATTACACTATTTATTATTATTTGTTAAATTAATAATAATGATAATAATAATGACCTGGCTACGGAGCCGGCGCTGGAACATGGAGCCGAGCTTGTGAGCCCGAAGGACTTGGAGAAAGTCAATCAACGGCTGCGATTGGGCGGACAATTCTTTCACGGCACGAGATTGATCCTCGTGTTCACCCTCATCGCCACTTGTGTTCCCGCGCCGCACCTTATCACCACCACCTCCCTCCTCCTTCCTCGATCTGCTCGCCGTGCTCTGCACATCAGAGCTCTCCTTCGCGGCTTCCTCTCTGCCGCCTGACTCAGCCACCAATCCAACCGGTTTTTTCTTCCCCCGCCGGTCGGATTTCTCTATGCTGTTCGAGCTGCCGTTGAAGGAGTCCTCCTCCTCCTCTCCCGATTTTCGATCCGGTTCGGTTTTTACTTCGACCGGCTCGTGTCTTACCTGCCCGGCTTTATCCAGACCCTCCCCCTCCGCGGCCGGCTCCGCCGCTTTCTCACCGGTTTTCGGCTTCTCCGCCTCAGGATCTGTGGAGTTGGATTCGTTCACCGATAACTGGTCCTTGTCGATTTCCTCCCCGACGGCCGGTCCGACGCCGCCGCCGCTGCCGCTGCCGCCCGGCTCCGCCTCCGGATCGACGACTCGCTTCGCCATATCCTTGTTCTCCAGATCCGACGCGCTTTTCTCCTGGAGGCTCCTCTCTCTCTCCTCCTCCATCCTCTTCACCTTCAACTCCAACGACCTGTCAAAAATCAAAATTAAAAAAAAAAAAAATAATCCAAACGTTCAGATCTAAATTAAATTCACGCAATCACGAGATAAGTGAGTACTCGATGTTGAGATCGTAACGCTCCACCTCCCGCCGGAGCTCGGCGACTCTCAATCTCCTCAGCTCTTCCAGCAGAGGCGCGGCGGATTCTTCGGCGCCAGATTTAACGTCTCCTCCGCCGCCGCCGTCCGAAACGTGATTGGGGGCGACGGGAAAGCGGCGCTTAAGGTCGAGATACTTGGACCGGCAGTCGTGGGCGGTGAGGGGGAGGTTGGGGTCGGAGGTCCGTTTCTGGAGTTCGGAGGCGACGGAGTCCCAGGAGGCGGTGCCGTGGCGGTTGACGGCGAAGGCGAGGATGAGCTCCTCCCAGGTGCCCCAGGAGGGGGAGGCGCCGCCGTCCGACGTCGCCTCTGGCGCGACGCCGTCGGGTTTGGTCATTGGCCTTTTGCGGTGCGGTGCGGTGCGTACGGTTCGTAATCAAAACAGATTTAATTATTTGTGAATATATATTTAATAATTTAAAGTCGTCATTGGTTAGAAGATGGTGGTCTGTTAGCACTTAGCAGAGGTCTAGGGTTCTATTTTCATCTCTCTCGTAAATTTCCTGCTCAAATTTGTGATTTGTGGCACAATTTATACTCTTTTCTTTATTTTATTTTTTATTTTATTGTTTTTTTTTTTTTTTTT